AAGCGACTTGGCCTGAGGAATATGAGCGTACCGAGCGGCTCAGTGGCGAGGAGGCGCGATTTCACCCCTTGACTCTCGAGGGTCGCTTCTGGGGAAGCCCTATTGAAATTCTCTTGCCACAGGACGAAATGGTTATGCCGATTCGTGATCTTCTACAACGAACTCATATCGATCACGTCAAGAGTGCCGCTGAAACTGCATTCGGCGGTCCAGGTCTTCCTCTGTCTCCTGCGACACCCGAAGCTAAGAGGAATGGAAATATGTTTGGCGTTGGCCTTCCAGCAGATCAGCGACACATGACCGAGATTGAAGGCGATGCTTTCCTTGCAGGCTTCATGCCACCAGCCTATGCTTCAGTGATGGCTACCCTCAAAGAGGTTCGCAAGCGAGTTGGAAGCAAGTGGCTTCAGTCCAAGCTCAAAGATGGCAGTGGTATGAGCGTTCTTGATGCAGGATCTGGTGGCGCAGGCTTGATTGCCTGGGACGAGATCGTACAAGCAGAATGGGATCTGCTGAAGGAAAAGGGTGAAGTCAAGGGAGATGATCCCCCAGGCAAGCGTACAGTCATTATTGGCTCTGATCGTTTACGACACCGCACCAAGACCTTCCTAGAGAACACCACTTTTCTCCCTCGGCTTCCCGACTATGAACACTCAGGAGAGATGAAGGGTGAGCATCTAGATGCGGGTAGCAAGCCTCAGCCTCGCAAGAGCTACGATGTTATTATCGCCTCCCATCTCTTTCTGAAGGAAGAACAGGACCACTACCGACAAGCAGTCCTCAACAAACTCTGGACCTTACTGAACAAAGATGGTGGTGTTTTGATTGTCCTGGAGAAAGCTCATCCTCGAGGATTTGAGGCTGTTGCTCATGTTCGAGACACCGTTCTCAGACAGTTCCTTCTGCCTCAATCCGGAGAACCAGAGCTTGATAGCGAGGACTTCAACCCTGCTTATCAACGCGAAAAGGAGCTCGGATATGTCGTAGCTCCCTGCACCAACCAGGGACTATGCCCAATGTATCAGACGCCTGGTAAGAGCAAAGGTCGCAAGGATTTCTGCCATTTTAGTCAGAGATTCGTACGTCCTGCGTTCTATACTCGAATGCTTGGAAACAGCACGAGAAACCAGGGCGACGTCGAGTTTAGTTATGTTGCCTTTAGACGTGGTGTTGCTAAGGAGCGGTCTATAAGTGGCAAAGAGGCGGCAAACCGGGCCTTTGAAGGATACGAGCACTCCGACGAAAAGCCCGATATGCAGAGCCTGCCACGATCTATCATGCCTCCCTTGAAGAAGAAGGGTCATGTTACCCTTGACTTCTGCACACCAGAAGGCAAGCTTGAGAGATGGACCGTCACCAAGAGTCAGAGCAAACTCGCATACCACGATGCTCGCAAGTCACGATGGGGCGACCTTTGGGCTCTTGGAGCCAAGACGCGAGTTCCACGCAACGCTCGCGCTGGCAAGGGACCCGACGATGGCGGCAAACGAGCTGGGCAAGGCAAGAAGCCTAGAAAGGTCGAGATTGTCATGGGACCTGGCGGTATCAGTGCCAACGAGAAGAACGCCCCTCGTGAGCGTCGTGGAAAGAACAAGATGGACAAGAGGACCCGTCTTATCCAGGAGATTCTCGAGGCGGAAGAAGAGGAAGAGAGAATAATTTCCAAGCAAATGGATGAAGAAGTAGAGGCTGAATTGCAAGACGACTCTGACAGAAGAGGTCGATAATAGGTGGATGTATTATATGTAAAATAGATGTAACAACGCTGGTTCGAGACCAGGCAGTCATGATGAGGGCATTTGGGCATGATGATAGATCTCAACACCAAAACAATGTAACGATTTTATGCAATATACTTCCCTGAAGCCTTGGAACCATACCCAACTGTCGTGAAGCAATCCCTAACAGCATGATGAGCCTCATTCAAGTCACTCAGCTAACTCGTCAACTTCTTGGACGCCATTCCAGAGCCTGAGCTTCAACAATAAGAGCCACGCCCGGTTAGCTCAATCGGTAGAGCGTGAGACTCTTACGAGTACGCGATCTCAAGGTTGCGGGTTCGACCCCCGCATCGGGCTGTTCCTATAAATTCGATTGCGAGTGCGAGGCTTTCTTTTTTGTGTTTTTGTACTCCGTGACAGTTATGCTGCGATATCATGATGGTATATTCTGGCGTGAGTCTTAATAACGTTGCGTCATGAAAGAGAACAAATCATCTTTTCGTCTGCTCCTGACAAATGACTCTTCAATACAACCCCTTGTCAGTTCCTCATCATGACACGGATTGAACCACTAATACATAGGCGAAGTCCATATCATGACCATTCCGTTATCACGTGTTTTGATATCGAATGGTTTTCTTGAAATTTGCATCTCCGCCCAAGAACCAAAACCACGGAATTCCATACTTCGGATCAGATCATCTTATCGCTCCCACATTCAAAATAACGTGCTTTATCGCAATTCTGACATCTCCGGTTGCGGCCCGCGGAAGTCGGTGATTGCGTTATCAACCGTGTCTTTGGTGCCCGCCGACAGGCCGATTACAGGTATGGCGTGAGTTTGAGCCAATGACACGAGCTTGATTTGGAGTCTATGGAGGGGAGGGGCAATGGGGTTACTTTTTTTTCTATCGGCTCATGAGGGACGAGCAGGGGTTCAGGGTCTAGTCCATGAGAGCTCTCTTATAAGCCGACCGAGTCTCGCAGTCGCGATATTTGCTGCGTTTTGTTGAGGTGAAGTATTTCTTTCTTTTCTGTATAAGCAGATCAATTACTCGATATGACAACAATAATACCATCATCGCTTCTTGCAGCTCTGAACTGCAGAGGCAACACTCATCTCGTTATCGGCACAAACCCGCTCGCTGCGACTCGATGTGCCCAGTCTCTAAGCTCTGGCGCAAAACCAATTCTTATTGCCCCCGATGGCTCTGAGCTTCACTATGCTCTCCAGAAGAAAATCGACGATGGCAGTGTCCAATGGCACAAGAAGCAATTCGAAGACGCCGATTTGCTAAGACTCGGCCGTGAGGAAGTGGATGGTGTAGTAGATGCTGTCTTTGTCACATCAGGACCACGAGACCCTCAAAGTATGTCTTGCTCTAAACGATAACGACCATTACTAACAAGTGCACCAGGCCTTCACATTTCTTCCCTCTGTAAACGAAACCGCATTCCCGTAAACGTCGTTGACGCTCCTCAACTCTGCACATTCTCTCTCCTCTCGACACATACCGACGGCCCGCTCCAGATCGGCGTCACTACAAATGGTCGTGGCTGTAAGCTTGCCTCGAGAATTCGTCGTGATATTGCCGCTTCTCTCCCTGTCAACCTAGGCGCTGCCTGCACACGCCTCGGAGACGTACGCCGCCGCATCCATGATGAAGATTCCCTAGGCGCTCAGGACGACCCCGCCTCTCTCGATGATTCGTACGACCAAAACGCTCAATTCAATCGTTTGATTACTGAGGAGGATGCGAAGAACCGAAGGGTGCGCTGGTTGAGTCAGGTTTGCGAATACTGGCCCCTCAAGCGCCTCGCTGCTATTACCGACAATGATGTTGAGACGGTTCTCAAGTCATACCCTGGTAATGGTCCCGATATCAAGCGTGATCCCGGTACACCAGAGAAGCGTGTTGGTGCCATTATCCTGGCGGGTAGCGGGCCTGGTCACCCGGATCTTCTTACCCAGGCTACTCATAAGGCTATCAAGACCGCTGATCTTATTCTCGCCGATAAGCTGGTGCCTTCTGGTGTCCTTGACCTTATCCCCCGCCGCACTCCTGTTCAGATCGCCCGTAAGTTCCCCGGTAACGCAGATCGCGCTCAAGAAGAGCTTCTTGAGATGGCTCTCGCTGGAGTTCAAGAGGGCAAGACTGTCTTGCGCCTCAAGCAGGGAGATCCATATGTATATGGACGTGGTGGTGAAGAGGTTGCCTACTTCCGTCAACATGGCTTTGGAGACAGAGTATCGGTTCTCCCAGGTGTGACGAGTGCTTTGAGTGCTCCTCTTTTCGCTGCCATTCCTCCTACGCAACGTGATGTTGCTGACCAGATCCTCATTTGCACTGGCACGGGCAAGAAGGGTAAGGCTCCTTCACCACCAGAGTTCGTGCCCAGTCGTACTGTGGTCTTCCTCATGGCCCTTCACCGGATCAACGGCCTCATTCGTGAGCTCACCACTCACATCGAGCTTGAGCCTCTTGCTCCGGCTAATGAAGAAGCTGCGTCAGCACAGCCCCCTCCTCCACCAGAACCTACTCAAGTCTCGCCCGTAACAGGTGAGAGCAAGCGAGTACTCTGGCCCCGCAACACCCCGTGCGCTGTCATTGAGCGTGCCAGTTGTCCCGACCAGCGAGTTATTAGAACTACACTTGAGCATGTTGCCGAGGCTATTGAGACAGAGGGCAGCCGACCTCCAGGTCTCTTGGTTGTTGGACGATCCTGCGAGACTCTTTTCACCCCTGAAAAGAGTCGAGCTTGGGTCGTTGAGGAAGGATTTAGAGGGATGGAGATAGAAGATTTCACTGTCGGCCTCGAGGCCTTGCAAGCATGATTCATGATATCCTATATGATTTTGTTTGGAGTTTACGCGGGCATGATAACGGTGGCATAGCTGGAGTTGGGTAGATCTGGATATTATTTTTACATAGACTCATATAAAGAATGATAATTGCTAGCCGATCTCTATTCACTCTGCACGCGAGCGCTTCGCATTTAGCGGTGCATCACCGTCGTCTTCTGGTGGTCTCTTGCTCGCCAAAGTTTTTCGCAGGTCTTCCTGTCCATGCTTTTCTAATAGGACCAGCTCTTTATACTTCTCATCACCCAGAAAACCTCTCAAGTAGTCACCTCTCAACCCACGGAGCTGGCTCTCCACTTCTCGAAAGCGTTTTTGCCAGTCACGCAATTTCTTGTCGAAATTTGTCCCCAACTTTGTAACCGTCAGCTGGACCTTCGAATCAGCCTCCATTTTCTTGAGTGAGTACATCGGATCTCCTAGATGATACTCAAGTTGATGCAGGTGTGCGCGATTTCCAGGAAATCCTGCACTGCTGGAATTGGAGGCGCCTTATTTGCCTCCAGAATCTTAAGAAGAGGTTCAAGAAACTTGTCATATATACCATAGTTTTCGAATGGGAGCCAGACCTCCTTGTTCTCATTCAAAGTTTTGCAGTTCCACTCCAATATCCGCAAAGCTTCTTGTCCCGCACAATTGATATTGGCTTCTTTCAGCTGTTCGACGAGCTCACTACCTTGAGACCACCTGCCCGTAAACAGACCAGATCTGAGCTCTTCCATTGGGAGGTACAGTTGTTGTCCAGCATGCTCGAGGGTGGACTTGTAGAGCTCAGGGGATTTCTTGAATGAACCAGTCCTCTCAGATGACATGTGCTTTAGAAGACACAACAAAGGGTATCTTTCGGCTCTCGGTACGATTTTCCGAAGAAAGCTAACAGTGTTAGTGATTTACTCCTCTTATGTCAAGTAACATCTCTGACCAACTTACGTCTGAAGTATCCATTCTTCATCTTCACTGCGCTTTTTGAGAGTGTTGAGGATGAATTCTCTGTGGTTATGTTTCCATGAAGACTGAGATTGTATCTTTTCTTGGCAAATGGGATCTGCCCAAACCTCGAAACTCTCAAATAGAGGGGGGTGCTTTGCGAATGACTTGAATGAAGCACAAAGGGTATCGAATGCTTCAGCTGAAATAGTGTCTTTGGTGAGTTCTTGGAACCTGTCATGCTTGTGTCAACATCGTGACTTTCATGGCAAAGCCGTAATCAGTTCGACCTACCAATAATTCCAATCGTTCGCTTGTTCTTTGCCATCGAAGTGCTTTCTCAGATGATTTACCAGCGCTCAGCTAATGTCCTTTCCATAAGATCGGAAATTTCTTCTGAAACATTCCAGAAAAATCTTCATATTCTCGAGCTCCAAAGCACACTTGGAGATGAGGCTTGGGACTCCTCCATCTGGCCAGAATTGTCTGTAGAAACTCAAAGCGTTCTCCATGAAAGCCGTAGCAACTTGTCTTGAGTATGGATCATCTCGGGGTTTTAAAAGATCCTGGTACACCATTTCTGTCAGGAAATAATCCTCTTTTCTAGTACGAGACTCTCTGTAAGAGAGCTTGTTCGAGCATAACTGGTATAGGTATACCTTTGGCATAAGATAAGCTACCGTCTTGTGATAATGAAACACGAGCGGCGCTTCCTCGTTACCAGTGTACCCCCCCCTTCATCCTCGCTATCAGGGGCTTCCCTCTCAATATCGTAGTCCAAGAAATCATCAAGGCCGAGAACGAGTTCTGAAGAAACTTGATCACCGTTCAGATTGTACAGAGTCCTGAGAGTAGTGTGATCTTCGTCCTCGCCGCCATAACAGTCATCTCTCTCGGCTTTGAAATGCGTTGTGTGTCCCAACATGAAGTAGAAGCCAGCTTCTGAACAGATCTCGTTCAAACAACGCCCAACGGATCGATCGCGACCTTTAAGATTTCTCAAGCACAAGCTTGACTCTGTGTAAAGGTGGTCTAGGGGGTACAGAAGTCTACCGACTTTGGGGAAGTCAGTCCGAAACTTGGCCAGCATGGATTTGAGATCCTTGGTTTGCTGGAAGACGGTGGAGGCCGATAGCTCATCTTCCCCTGTTGCAAAGAGTTTGTAGGTGAGGACGAGTCGGTATCCAGATGTTTGTCGCTCGACTTCATGCGTCACATCTGAATACCAGGACATGGCTATGAGGTCAAACTCGGAGTTTTCGGCCGTTGAAAGACGTCGTTTTTGAGATCCAAAAGACAAGCAAACGTCACCGCCCTCATGTTGCGACGGAAGACAGACAACAAGAGTTCCGATCATGCCTTGTTTCTTTTCTGAATCTTTATGGGGTTTGAAGAACGATCCGGATTCGTAGAGAAGTAGTTTGTGAGGGTCGGCTCGTGGTTGGAATAGACCGAGTCCTCTGGCCGTATTGCGTAGTATCCTTGAGTCAAAGTCCTCGGACCAGTTCTTGTTCATGAGATTGGATTTCGAGGCATCGAGCTCCCATGTATTGCGTACCGAAGTCCCGACAACCGTCTTGTTGCGGTGGCCAAAAGGCGCCTGTTGGCAAATGCTCTGTATGGCTTGCGCATAATCTTCTTTTAGTGGTAGGGAGATAAGGCGATCCCCTTCAATTACAAGACCTGGATTCGCATATTGGCTGTAGACATTGAAGGTACTGATTTCGCCCGTTGATCGGATTGAGTCGAGCGTGCGAGACAACGCGTGAGTACTCTCGGTATATTCATTACCTGAGGAACTTTCAGATCCCTCATCTGAATAGTCGGTCATTGTGTGGCTTAACTCGCCAGTTCGACCGAAGGCTTGGGCTATTTGTTGACGTACTGGCAACATTGGGAGGATGTGGAGTTGCGACGAGTCGGCTTATTTTGTCAAGAAAATGACAAGTTTGACTTCAAATGCCTGCCCGTTGGAAGTAGCTGTTGCACTGTCCCTGCAGTGGCGTGTGCAACGTTGGATAACAGCTGCCACAGGCCACGGATGAATGCAGAGACCCTTCCGTTGGTAGTATTAAACGTAGCGAACGAATTATAATAAGAGACTGAGTTTGTTCGCAGAGCTAAACATTGCCCGTTTCTGTTTGACTTGCTGTTTGATTGTGCGGCAAACCCTGATCTATGGCATCCATCTCGGAGGTGCAAAGTCGTTTATCAGGCTGTGATCCATCTTCAGTGGGTGGCCTTCTCACTCTAGCTGAATTCAGTGGCGGCCCGTATGGAGTTACTCCCTTCAGCAAGATGATTTCGCGGTATCGTTCCTCACCAAGTGCCTTCTTCATGAACTCTCCCTGGAGAGGTTGAAGAACCTTCTCCAAGCCTCTGTAGTTGGAAACCCAGCTTCGCAAGTCAGGTTGGGCTTGGGCTGCTGTCTTGGTCACCCTGAGTTTCCCAAACGTGCCGGTAGTCTGATCCAATACTCTTGTAACTTGAAGCGACTTTTCTACCCCAATAGCATGCTCGATATGCAATCTTCGATTCTTTGGTGCGTTGAACTCCCAGATAGTATCCCGAGGCGAAGTCAAGAATCGATCCAGTTCAGCACAATCCTCACAAAACCCACAGCCTCGCTCTCGGAAAACCAGTCCGCCAACAGCATGAGATTGCCTGGGCAAGTCAAGTCGGATGATTTTGCGCACAAGAAGCTCAAGAACTTCCAACAAAACTGGTGTCTTCCTCAACAGGCCCTCTGCGGACAATCGAATGAAGGGGGTGATCAAGCAGAAGATAACACCGAATGGATCTTTGACAAGAATCCATTTCGCTTTTTCTGCGGCAAAGTCCGAAAATGTTTCTTCAAGTACTCGAGAAGCTTCTACAAATGCCCCAATAATGTGGCACTCAGTAATGAGCCGAACAAAAGGGCCGCAGATCAAGTCATGCCTGGGAGTCTGCACCAACCAAGCTTCTTCCGTAGGCTCAAGCCTATCAGGCGAGAAGTTGAGTTTACCATCGCTGTGATTTATAATGCTTTTGAACATTTCCTTTGCATGCATGAATTGTGGTTCGCTTCTGAACTGGTAAATGTTGAACAGACGTTGGACCAAAAGTGCGCTATGGTTCTGGTTGTGGTGACCAGACGCAACTTTGGGAAGCAGCCTAAAAACGTCGTATGAGCATCAACTTGACTGAAATAATGGTCGGCAAAACTAGATAGACAAACCTGTTGACAATCCAGTGAGCATTATCGCAACGGAGCCGGATTAAGTCGAGGATCGTTTCCAGATCGGTATACTCCCAATTGAGCTCCGGGTTTAGCTTCTCATCCATTATTGTCTCTGCCCAAGCATCAAAAGATTTCCATACAGCTTGACTGATGGCCAGGATAGTACGCGAAAAGTCGCGATATAATATTCCAAATTGCCCAATGGGCTTCTTTGTAGTATCGTCAAGCCTGTATTGAGGTTAGGGTAATACGTGACTTTGTACGCAAGAAACGTACCATTCTTTCCAATCGATAGATTCTTCTGAGCCTTGGTACTTCTTTGCAAGATACTCTGTAAGTACATGCACTGCAGTTATAGGGTTTTTTCGTAAAGCTGATCTATATAGTGGCATGTATCCAGACCTTAGGCTCCAGTTCACGATGGGGTTGATGCATGTGCATAGCACTTGCGTGTCATTCCCAGAGTCGCAAAGCTTGTCGATTATGTTTTCTGCCACCTTGATTGTACCCCCAGGATTCTTCTCTAAGTCGTCGACAACCATCGCCACAACAGGTGCCATGCCTGGATGATGGGTCTCTTGATCTCGAGTAAGTCGTGCTGACCGCCGAGAAGTGTTTTGACCACCTGGTCTCATCAGGTCCAGCAATCCTTCCTTAGGTATCAGAAGAACTGCATGGTCGTGCCAACGGCGAGTCATTGTGTGTTCTTCCATGAGATATTCATTACTCATGCCCTCATCTTCATCACTGGCAGGATCAAGGTCCCATTGTCGATCCACATCAAAGCCTAATACCTCATTTTCTGCGTCGAGCTCTTTGTTCTCTGTCAATAAATGACCTTCAGGCGTATAGACTCCGTCAATGGAACTCTCCACAGTTTTGCTAGTAAGATTATCGGTTACCTCATGTGTGATTTCAGCGAACAACATATAGAGCCCGGCTTCTGAACAAGCCGCGGATAAGGCTTCACAGACTGCTTTGTCCCGGTCTCTTGCTTCTTGGAGTGATAAAACCCCCGTGCCGTTCTCGTCGTCCAATTTATACAGCATCCTTTTGGTACCAGAATGTTGGTGCTGCCACATCTGAAGAACTTCTTCCACACGGCCACTCCCCACATATGATGAAGGGACAATGCGTTGCCCATCGTTGAACCGATGTAGTATGTATGATATAGTGAGCCGATATCCGGAGACCAGTTCGGTGGCCAGGCTATTGGCAGGAGAAACCCAACCAATGGCAGAAAGGTCGAAAGCTGATGAAGGCGCGGTAGATACAGTTTTCCCTCTTCCACCAAGAGATACATGAATGTCTCCACCCTGATGCTCAGATGGCAGGCAAACGGAAAGGTGGCCGACGATGAAATCAGATTGCTCTAGGCTTTGGTCATGCTTGGCTACAGGTCCCGGTCCCTGAAGTGTCAGCTTCTTCAGACTCAGCAAGGCATTTTCTATACCAAGTTCCTTGGTGGTTTCCTGTGTTATCCTGTCCAGACATGATGTCCAGGCCGGATTGATCAAGTCGAATTGTGCACGGTCAAGCTCCCAGATATTCTGGGCCTTACTATCAGTCTCTTGAACCGCGTAGCTCAGCCCTTTGATGACTTCGGCATAGTGATCTGTTAGAGGTAGCGGTATAGTTTGTTGTCCCCCAATTTTGAGGCCTGGATTGACGAACTCCTGATAGCTTCTGAAGGATATAAGTTTACGTTCTGCCTGAATGGCATTCAGGGACGCGAACAGCTTCTTCTTCCATTCGCTTTCTTTGATCTGAGGTGCATCGCCATCATCGTCATCACTGATTTCGATGACGTCTTGTGGCTGTAACATCACTATTGAAGTGTCATACCATGGAGACGTGATGAAAGAAGTTAGAGTTTGGCCGCATGTTAAAAGTGGCACGTGTCTCATAGGTAGGTAAGCGCGACACGCGAAAGAACTGGACGCGACTGAGACGATGACCAACAACAGCAATCAACCGAAAACTGGTGGTTTCGCCATTGATTGGCATTTAGTCGAGATGGCTTCTTCTTGGATTAGGAACTTGAATATTTCAAAAGAGAGCTAGATATAAGAGGGGCCAGTGGCTACCGCCGTTCGGCTGGTGGCCTTTGTACCTGACAGCCCCGGGCCGGCCCGTCACACAATGCCCACTTGACGTCAGCGATACAATAGGGGCAAGGGGAGGTAAGAAAACTTAGGACCTCTATACTAAATGACAAAAAGACTTAGGTAAATTTAAGATAGACTTAGTAGACCATTAGACTACCTAATTATTTTCAGCACCTCGGTTCAGGGTTAGAAGTTTTTTGCTCCGTAAGGGAGGACTCAGCGTTCTCAATGACCAGCCCACTATCAATTCATATTAAACGGTGCGACTTCACTCAATAGCAAGTGGAACGCGTCCATGGTCGTGGATCAGCTCCGCTCAAGTACCCATCAAGGTTCTTTCTTCATACCGCATTTCCTTATTAGAAGTATGTATGTAATATGCCTAGGCTCGGTTTGCCAATGGGGATGATACAAGAAATATCCTTATCTCACAACCAATATCTCAGAGTTTCGCGTTTCAATATACAACCTCCAGTCACCTACCAAATATCTAATTGTGCAATACCACCAAAGGCCAGCAAGAGTCAGTTTGAGCAAGTATTGCAGATCTCATCTTAGACAGCTGACTCATCAGCCCCGCTATTCCAAAGACATTCTCTCTCAAGCGAAGCCTTCGCAATGTTGATTCACCTCCACTTCTCCGATGCAAAGATGGGTTTCCTATCGCAACGAGCCACAGAGGCAGTTGGTGGACTAGATCTGCCATGGAGGTTCGCACCGAGGGGGGACTATGATGCAGATCATAACCCAAATGGTTTGATATCATTTGGCACAGCTGAGCATGTACGAGCACCTTTCAATCATAGCTTCAGAATGCTGACCATACTAGGCCTTGGTTACCAAAGATCTGAAGGAGTTCACAGACAAGAATGTATGAGCCCATTTATCAAACCCTTAGACCTGGGCAGCTCGTAACTCACGCAAATAGGTCACCATTTCACATGATGATTTCCTTTATCGAGGCAGCCATGCAGGGGGTTCTCGCTTCCCAAAAGCATTAGCTGCCCACCTTAATGAATACCTCCAGCCTTACATCCCTGTAACTCCTGATATGATTCGATGCGTCGGTGCTGCTACTGCAATGCATGATATTCTCGCATGGGGAGTCGCGGATCCTGGTGATGGTGTACTGACCAGCAGGCCTGTATATGGCCGGTTCGAGCTTGATTTTGGTAACATGTCTCAAGTAAGAGTCGTATACTCCAACAATAAGATAGAAGAAGCGTTCCAAGATGATATCGTCGAGATGTTCGAGGAGGCGTTGTTGCGCTCTCGGAAGGCCGGGATTAATGTCAAGATGGTACTAATCGTCAATCCACATAACCCCCTTGGTAAGAAACTATTTGTGCTCTTCTCGCCCAAGGACCTAACAGTTTTCAGGACGCTGCTATCATAAGTCAACGCTCATCAGTATAATGCGATTCTGCCAGAAACACAGACTGCATCTCCTGAGCGATGAGATATACGCCTGCTCCGTTTTCAATACAGATGAGCCTGCAGTTCCCTTTGCCTCAATACTTTCAATTGATCCGACTGGAATTATAGATCCAGAACTTCTTCATGTCACTTATGGTCTTAGCAAAGACTTCGGCGCGGCTGGTCTTCGGCTCGGTGCCATCATCACTCGCAGCCAACCAGTCCTCCGGGCAATCGAAGCGGCCATGCGATTCAACAACCCGTCTGGAGCGAGCTTAGCTATTGGAAGCGCCATGCTTGAGGATAGACCGTGGTGTCGAGCTTTCATCGACTCTTCAAGGCTAAAGCTTGCCCAAGCCCATCGACATATCACATCCCAGCTCAGCGACATGGGTATCAAGTACTTACCCGGCAGCAATGCAGGGTTCTTTGTCTGGGTTGATCTATCCCCATACCTTCCATCTGAGCTAGATGGAGAGCTGAATCAAGAATTTGCTCTCGCGAAGAGGTTGCACCAGGCGGGCGTCTTTCTACATCCTCGCGAAGAGCATTCTACCGAGCCGGGATGGTTCCGAATGGTATATTCGCAAGACTCAAGAACTGTCACCGAGGGGCTCCGGAGGTATGTTGATGGTAATTGCATTCATGACCACGTGGCGATGCTAATAATTCCAGGATCCATAAGGCGATATCTTAGCCTGAATGGCCGTGGAAAAGGTTAATTAAACTTATGACTGGCAAATTCAAACAAGTGTCAGAAATTTCAAAGATAGAGGTAGAAAACAGTTAGCCATCACACGTAGGAATGTACGTGGGTGAAGCTTTGATATCAAGCTAGAAATCAAACCTCATATCAGGTGATGATGATTTGATAGCTTATCTTGATACACTTCTGTATCTACCACTTACTGGCTAACAGCGTCCTCGAATTTCTTACCAGTCAACATGAGGAAGGCCTCTCGGTAGCGGTCCGCTGTAGCCTGAACGATATCCTGGGGTAGCTCCACACCCTCCTTGCCCTTGAGTCCTTCCTTAGTGAGCCAGTTGCGGATGAATTGTTTATCAAAGCTGTCTTGGTCGCGACCAGGCATGTAGCCGGCTGCTGGCCAGAATCGAGAAGAGTCGGGGGTCAGAACCTCGTCGACGAGATAGATGTTTCCCTCTCCATCCTTGGCAAATTCAAACTTGGTGTCGGCCAAGAGAATGCCTCGCTCTTCGGCGTACTTTGCGGCCTCCTCGTATATCTTGAGGGAAAGCTCCTTCACGCGGTCTGCAGTCTCACGGTCACCAACCTCCTTCCAAGCGTCATCGGGGTGGATGTTTTCGTCGTGCTCTCCAGCATCAGCCTTGGTGCTTGGAGTCCAAATAGGCTGCTTGAACTTCTGGGCTTCTTCCATACCAGGCTCGACGGTGATGCCATGAACGGTTCCCTTCTGCTTGTACTCCTTGAAAGCAGAGCCGGTCAGGTAACCTCGTCTGTTAGAATGTTAGTGCTTAAGTGTCCCCGTAGAGCCTGAACCGTAAGAGCTATTTCAAGTTCAAGGGAAGGTTTCGCGGGGTTCTTCTGCGATAGGGGGCGGGGCAGCCGTACACAATTGATTCGATCTTGATGACAGAAAGCTTCTTCACGATCATCGAACGGTTCTTGATGGTCTTTGCCTCTTCAGGAGTAACGCCCTCGGGAATATCGAGACTGATGAAATGGGTGCGGAGGCCAGGAATGCGCTCTGTTAAGACTTGGAACCAATGAGCCGAGACGAGAGTCAAAATCTTGCCCTTGTCAGGAATTGGGTTCTTGAGAACAGCATCGTACGCAGAGACACGGTCGGAGGCCACGAAAAGAAGGGAGTTCTTGTCGGGCAGCTCGAAAAGGTCGCGCACTTTGCCCGAAGCAATCTTTTGAAAGCTTGGGAGCGAGATTTCCGTCAAAGCAGACATTGTAACTGAATTTGGTGAGTTTGAATTGATCAGGTTTGACTTATCGGAATAAAGACAATTTGTGACTGACCAGGGTTAGTTACGGTTGTGATGATACCTGAAGGGAGGAAGTTGATGATGAGGTGATGAAAGTGTGAGGAGAAAAATTTAGCCGGTGACTTGGATACATCGTGGAAAGCTTCTCCACTGAGTCATATATTCCATTGCGGTTTCGCCATTGGAGACGACTGACCAAAGTTTTTGATGGGAAAGATGTTTTCCACCTGCAACGCCTTCCTCCTCATAAAATAAGTGAACACGAACCGATCTCACATATTGACAGGGGCAACAAGAACGAGTCGTGTACAGTGTTTTACAGTGTCAAGGGACACTTTTGGCACGGCCCCACAAGACTCCACTCCCATAATGTTATTGGCTACGGCTTGCTTTCATCCAAACTCCAATATCATTGAGCAAAGTACGTTGGCTAGTAGTTTGAATGAGTAAGACGTGATTGAGAGACTTTTCAATCGTCATGGTATTCCTTTGCTTCTACTCGGGACTCCTCCATATCGGGTCGAGTTCTTTCGTGGATCGTCATATCTGTATGACAACTTTCATACAGTAGGTGAGGAGTTTCGTGAGGATGAAGGCATACCTATGTAGCAACACATCAGAATGCAAAGTGGTAGCCAGTACAGGTCTTTTATCCAATTTCTGAATATCGAATCACATTGCAGAAAGTGTTCATAAGAACAATACGGTATGATCATACACCAAAGATATTCACTTCTCCTTCGTCTCGTGTAACATAGTCAAAGAGAGGAGAAAACATTGGAGATCCGGTGCCAAAATTGGGCCAGATCATGTCTTTAGCTGGGCGTTAAGGATGAAACGTGATCTTCTTGTAAGGTTGGGTAAGAAATCACAGGATTACAGAGCAAACACGGATGTTATCTGAGACGGGCCACATATGTTCAAGCATTTGTTCGGTGGTACTCATACCCCGGGAACATATGCCTTGCGAGGTGGCTTTTCCTTGCCATTCGGGTCCTCAGTCTTGCAAGTATCAGCTTGTCGTTTTATACACCATTGGCTTCCGTCAGATTTACTGTCTATCCTCTAAGTACTACCTACTCAAAGATGTATTATTCTCTGTTTTTGTCTCCCAGGCCAGGCGGAAGATCGTAGACAACCATGCTTAAATAATAATAACGATGTCTCAGGCATTCAAGATAAATGTTTCCTATGGTAACATTATAACATGCATTCAGCTACAAGCGGGCTGGCACCAGCCTAACCTAATGATGTTAAAGTAAATTACCTGGTATATTTGACTTAAGCGGCAACTCCTCAGATACGCCAGTTGAGAACTGCCATTCTCTTACACATCCTTGCAGCTTGTTTTAGAACTTGTTGCCGTCCCTGGCGTGCTTCTGGGCTACGCAATAGTTATCTATGTTGTCTCAGCATGGCCACTTTAATAACTTTCCTATCCTTGTGACAAAAACGCGAATAACCCTGGAAACAGGAGCAATGATTGAGTCACCAATTATAGAAGTTGGGATTTCGGGATTATGTGAAAAGGGGGAAAGGATTCTGCAGAGTTTGGTTCTCAGTTGAAACTACGAAGACACTACTTCGATAAACTCGGTATCTCACAAACATCTCAATACTCAAGCTCAGGCTTTCTCCGGCCCTATTCATCGCCAAGTGATCTGATGAATTGGCGACACATTAATATTCATGTTTCCGGTCTGGCTCGTGCGTCACAAGCTTTCCTGTTAATCTCCTACCAGAATGGGAATTTACCTTCAGCCCTAGATTAGGCATCTAAGACTTAACAAGCATGTGGGTATCGAGTTATGTTTTAAAATGGTTTATAGACCAACATGTCAAGAATCATCATGACAAGGAGAGAACAAAACCTCACATCAGGTTTCACTGTAGCCTTTTTGTCCTTTTGTGTGGCAGTTTCGTGCATGAACATGACCTCTGTCCGATGCCCCAACTAACTTCACTCGAATATTGCTAATAAGAACGGTGGTTTAACTCAGTGCAAGGGGTACTGAACCACTTTTTAAATATTGGGAGGAGTAAGTGGTAAGTCCTTCGTTTTTCTGCAAGGCCTATGTAATAATTATTGAAGCGTATCATATTTTAAGAGCTATTTCGAGACTCTTATCCAATGGTTAGAGCCTGTCAATGAGTTCTGTGCCATGACTACCTGAAGAGAAACAAAGAAGTTGTATGGATAGCTTACGAAGTTACGAAGGACCGAATCTACCTTGAAAAGCACCCAATAGCTATTTGACATTTACTTAATTAGGTAGCTTCAGACATTCTAAGAAAGTACATGCTTTATTTGACTTGGTAATCTGGCTTTCGCCTATGGTTACAGGTTTGGTATCAGCACTTGCTAGCATACAACTCAAATGTCACTGATTGCTAATGACAGCGCTGGCAAGATGATGTTCCTAAAGTTGTTCTCCGCGCTTGTTCTCTGGCTAACACTTTCCGGGTGTGAGTGAACGCAAATCTTCATATAATCCTATATTGAATGATTTCTCGATTGTTCATCGGTATGGGCCCATTCGGCTCGTTCAAGCTTCAAGTTTCCTAATACGTATGCAACGACCTACTTACGAGTGCCGGTGTCTGGGCCTTGACAGCTGATAGCATTTTGTCAACCACGTTCCCCATGCTTGGCCGTATATAATCAAATCAAAGAAGGCCAGCTGAGCCGAATAATCAAACACCCCACACCGGCTTATATTTCAGGACCTGTCCGTTCAAAGTGGACCGAAGCGAGCCGCTTTAACATTCATCGTACGCAATACACATCACAGCTTTAACTTTGGACAAAATCATCGGCCCTTCTTACTCCGTCTATGCTTCATATGAAACATTTATCCAAAGGATTTGTTATCCACATGTAGCCGAGAGTCGGGCATTGGCCGCGGGATTTAACCGGGAGAAGAATACACCGATCAATATTCGAGTCCGGTAGTTGATGGGAATGAGGATTCAGCTAGGGATAGTCCCGGCTTTAATGGGGGATGGACGTCAACATACGTTGCCTAGTGCCACCATGTTCGTCCCCAATTGTGGCCCACGCTTGTAATGGATCTCCTGCTCCGTCAAGAAATCATTTCCAGACACTCATCAATACTAGATCACTGTTCACGAAATTTGACTGGAACTCCATGGTTTAGAGGGCAAAATGAAGTCTTCTAAAGGCTTCACCTCGTGTCTTTTTGTGGCTATCTGACTAGTTCTCTTAGCGTAAGCTCAGCCGATGCTAGGTCGAGATCAGCAGGAATGGATCTGAGTCTTCAGCAAATGCCCATCTCCGATGTACCGCAATCGCAAATCGTCGATTTGATCACTGAAAGTCTTGGCAAAGATCTGTGCGGCAATTCCTGGCGTGTTTGGATCTCATCGACGTAGAGGACCAGCAAACAACTGCCGGAGACAAAGCGACACTATACCCATCTTGACTTGTTTCGAGATCCAGTTAGTTGGTGAGTCCCTCAGGCCATATTAAGGGAGTCGAGGGGGGAATAGATGCACCTATTGTGCGTGAGGGTTCCGGGATGAGCTTCGGGAAAGCGTTATTGGCTGCTGCGTATCAAATTGGGTATCATTTACCTGTATCCATGTCAAACAAGATTCCAAGTCTCAAGCGTGGGGGGGTTGAAAAATAGAAACGATTAAGCAGGTTTATGACGGTCGATATGCACCACAAGAGTCCAATATAATGTCTTAGGCAATGTCGAGTTCATAGCCCTTCTCTTGGCTTCTATACATAGAGCCTAGGTATGGTATTGATTTACATCAAAGCACATCCCAAGCTTCATAGATAGCGAGCGAATTGCCTGAAGCTCAAACCATCGTCATGATCTAAATATCATCCTAGTAGAAACGGCCCCTCCCGTCATCCCTGTCCCTTGCATCGCCGTTCCTTGGCCAATCATGGTTCATCCATTCGTCTCGTAACTGCCTCGAGGTCTCTTAGACGCGGTTGCAAAAGCAAGCAAACAAGCAAGAATGTCCCCCCCTTCGCCCAGTCTCAACATGCAAGTATTGCTTATGTCGTAGAAGGTGAAGCCCCTACCAGCCAGGCATCCATATCATCCCCCAGGGCCTCCCCTCGTCATTATCGTTTTCATCGTCTCTCGTCATAATATTTCGAGTTTTGCGCAACCTGTCTTCCTCTCCATATTTGATCATCGGGTGCGTGTAGCCAAGCAACGCCAAAGTCTTCACCCATGTTAGAGGCGCTAACATAAACACCACGCAGAGTTCCAGACGCTCTCTCCCCCCCCCCCCCCAGTTCATCCTAACCAATGTCGTTGTGATGCCCGCTCGTCGAGGTCGTTCCAAGCCTCCCCCAGTGGTTTCTTGTGCCTGCTTTTGGTCTCCTCGCCCCAGCTTGTACTAAGCAACTCTCAAGGAGGAACTGCAAACTTATAAGGCTACGACGCGGATGCCACGGAGCTGATGCCCACTAACTGCAGATCAACGCTTCCTTGCCGATCAGCTGTGCGCGGTCAATCTGATCGGGTAGTTCAATACCATAACACCCTCGTCTTATGAGCCAATCGCCTCACCTGATCTGCCTATCCTTCGATCTCCACCAGGCATACCTTATTACCTTCTGCTCTCCTGATCATAAGCGCTTGCAGAGTATTCCTACCTAAGCGACCTATCTGTACTTCTTTGAATGGTGGAAGTGAAGCACAGCGCTTCGTGCTGACCCGCTACTACACATTGCTTGTTGCTGGCGGGACAGCGCTGCGTACCTGGGCTGTCTACTTGTCGCCCTGTAGCCAATCTCCCGCTCCCGCTCCCTCTACCCATCCGTCTCGATTCCAGCAAATACGTCGACACTAAATCTAATCCAGTTTTCAAGGCACAAGGGTTCAGTTACACTAGGATACGGGACACGATTGGTACGCAACAGCATCAGCCATTGGCGTTTACAGTACAGTACATTTCGTCGTTCGATTGTCTTTCCGTAACCTTGCTTGTTGCAGCACCAGCACCTGGTTCCGGCGCACACCTTGTTATCTACTAGAGCTCTTGTAACTGCCATCGTTTATTGGTATTTTGCGACTGGTCGAAGGGGAAACATGGAACCCTTCATCCCGATCGTCAAACGACGAGCTTCAATTGCTTGTCGCCGGTAGATGAGCCTGCCTCGTGTCTTATGCATACCTATTTTCTGATTCTATGCTCTAGATGCCGGCGGATGAGGAGCAAATGTGTCCACGATCGTGGCCAGCCTCCCTGTAAGGCTTGTTTAGACACCGGGATTAAGGAAGGCGGATGGTAAGCTTCCCTGATAATGTGTCTGAAGCTTATCTGAATTTTTTGTACAACAGCGTGTTCACGCCGCGAGGCCAACCGGATTATGATCGCTGCCACCGGCGTCCACGCGTTGCTCGCAGAAGGACGGCCAAGACGACTCGACAGGATCCAGGAGGAGTACGACGTGAGAGTGCTGATGCTCCTACGAGAGCCCCAGGTACATTGAGTGATGGATGGGAAAACCTGCCTCCACTACCAGAAATCATCGATGGCATAAACCAGTTCACACGACATTACTTTCAACTTGGTTTTATTCCCAAAGAGCAATTTCCCCAGCGTCTGCTCAAAGATCACACGGCAGTCAGCGTCTTTCTCGTTGTCAGTATTCTTAGCATCTCAGCTCGCCTCAGCCGTCCTCTATCGAGGCGGTATGGATCCGGCATAAAGGCATCCGAGTTTTTCATGGAGCGGGCCACAGACATTGCACTCGGCGAGATATTCCCGGCCAAAAATACATTGGAGAACTGCCAGGCCTTTTATCTTCTTAGCATCGCACAACAAGGGAATGGACTTAAAGATGAGAGCCATGTACGTGTAGAAGACGACCTGAATAACCGCTCCACTACTAACTTGATAGACGAGCATGGGCCTTGCTCTTCGAATCGCATCAGCGATCAAGCTGCATTTGGAACATACTTATGCTTATGAGAATTCGAACCCTACACCTGATGCCATAATTCTTCGCGAATCCGCACGCAGGACTCTGGTACGTCATGCCAACCAAACAAACGTTAGTCATATGGCTGAATAGAATGTTCTCAGTGGATGTTGCATAGTCAGGATCAGCTACACTCATGCTCTTCCTCGCCCATCTCTCTCGCGGCTTCGGATATCGACGCCCTACTCCCCTGTGATGAAGATGGCTTTGCCAATGGGCGAGAGCCTCCTTTGCGAGCCGCTCTTGGCGGGACTCCACGTGCTATCAAGGACCCAAGCCTGGTCAATGATCCAAACCGGTCTCTTTTCGGGACTCTCATTCAAGCACACGGATTCTGGGGCGTAAGCACACGGGACGCAGTCAACTATACTCCCAATTCTTATCCATGGGACCCGGAGAGCAAGTTTGTCAGAGTCTCCAAAAAGCTTGATCAGTGGGAAAGGAGCTTGCCTCCAAGCCATCAATGGAGTAGTGATAGACTGTCCGAGTACAGGGCCAAAGCACAGGATCTAGTACGCTACCCCCTTTTGTAACAAACCGAACCACTGACAACTCAGGCATATCTCGGAGTCACAATGATTCCACGCCTTTGCAACATCGTTCTTCGTCGCCCATACTTGGAGTAGTAAGTTCAGATAACCAACACACAATCCAAGTCTAATATGTCGTAGTATCCTGCTATTGAAAACGAGATATACCCTGTATATTGATTCTTTTCATTTTATCCAGTTCTCAACGTCACGCATGACGGGCATATGATGTTCCAACGCAGCCTGGATATCCTGATGGAATGCAAAGAGGTCTGGCCTCTTGCTTCTCGTTGGGTCGACGCCTTAAAGCGCTTTGCTCAAGATCCCAACAGCTCATTTAGAAGCGAAAATGGGATGGCGGATGGCAAAGACCCAATCCATAATCCAATAACTCACCTTCCTGCGACCACGCCGATATCATCTGGCGCGTCGCCTGCTTCGTCCTTGTACACCCGACAAAGTAATTCTCTTGCTCCAGGCTCCATTGCTCTGCAGCTTTCATCCCCAAACGATATCTCCGTCTCCCTATCTACGACTCATATTATTCCCTCTCATTTTTCCCCACCTCAAATCCAACAACAGCCACAGATACATCAGCTGCAGATTCATTCCCATCCTCACCAACCGCCACTATCGGTAATACCACAGCAGCAGGCCTTCGTCCCACCTCAGCCTCAGCCTCAGCTCTACATGAGTACTGATAATATTGCCAACTTTGACATGGTCCTGGGAGCCTTTAGCCCCAATGCTGTCCAGGCTTATCCAATAGCATCGCAGGGCAACCCTCCGTTAGCAACCAGCATCCCAACGGCTATGGACATCACCGGTGGGCCACTAAACCCTCCTCCAGATGGCTTTTTAGACGAGCTGAATTATTATTCATACGGGTCCCAGGACTGGATACCGACAAGCAATGTGTTCGACGGCTATAAGTAATTTCTCTTGCCACTGTTGGGATCCAATGCTTGCGACCGTCACGCTGAACAGACGGGGCAGGAATCAATAAGATGGTGCACTTTTTACAGGATATGTTAGTCAAAATTACTCAATATCCGTTCATATTCCTTGCACTTCAAATTAAAGCAACATTCAAAATCATGGAGATCATTGCTCACGTATGAAACGGACTCTTCCCATCATTGTGGGCAATAACGGAAAATAGATGTGCCTCTGGTGCAGCCGCGTGGTTATGTCGCATTTGGCGTTTCCTTGTTACTTTATTTAATAATCAAGACATAGTATGAGATCTGAAATATGAAATGTGAATTCCACCGTGATTGAAACCCGCATCCGACGAACAGATCCAGGCTACTACTGGTGTCAAGTCTTCATTCATTTTGTAGTAATTGCTACGTAGCCATTATCGGGCTTAGATTCATCAGCACGAGATAGCATTTCACAACATCTTGCAAGTGTCTTTGAGTTCATTGTATGAAAGCCAACGATTGTTTGACTATCGACAGCTACAGACGAGCTCACTTGATACTCTAGTCCGAAGGTTTCATTTCAACGTGTCTTCGCTCAACTCTAAGGGTCCCCTACACACTCCGAATTTTCAATCCATTCCTCAAGAATCCCACCAAGTTCCACAAAGGTGGTTTGTCCGAGTACGCCGTCCTAAGCCTTCCCTAACACTTGAAAGGGAATCCAAGACAGACTCCATGGGCCGTAACAACCAGGGTTGTAAAAGCAGAACAAAAAAGAGTAACAAACCGGCCGCCTTGACTCCCTATCCTCTACATGAATTTTGGGCCGCCGCCGCTTTTCGTCCTCGCAGGGCATACATGACTTCTCTATTCCATCATTGCATCAGAATAAATAAAACAAAATGGGCTGTGTAGTGTAGTGTAGTGTAGTGTTGTGATATGATAGGGGAATGAATACATCATGTAGCGATGGATATGCCAGGTGAAGCGTCATAAGGGGGTATTTGAATTACTGTAGTGTCGTATGGGGTCTATATACATGCAAGGGTCGTGGGGATCGTGCTATGACTGGGGAAGGGGAAGGGAGCATTTGATTTATGGCGGCGATCGCTCGCCTTGAATTTGAGATATGAGTCTGAGTGCCAGATCAGTTGGCCATGACGGCCTGAGAGCCACCTAGTTGGCGCTTAACCTGCTCGCGGGCCCAGCGGGCGGTCTCGATAGTTCGGGGCTGGAATTCCCGGTTGGTCTTGGTCTCCTTGATCATAACAGTGAGCCATTCTTGGCGGAAAGCCTCAACCAGTTGGCCGTCGGGGTAAGCATCAGCAAGGTCGCTGTTTGAGTTAGCATAGTTCGTGCGAATTGCTGGGCCAGAATAGCTTACCCGATAACGCCCATAGAAGCCCGCATCAAGGATTCGCTTCGATTCATATCACTAGCGATGATGCTGAGGGCGTTGAAGATGAGAGGGACGTATTGCTGGAGAGCTTGTGCTATGACGTGTCAGTAACGATTGCATATCAGACGGATAGGGCGACATACTCTTCTCGCTGACCTTCATGGCGCCAATAATCCCACCCCAAGCATCCATAATACCCTCACGGAGGGAGACAACATAGTCGTACATCTCGTAGGGGCCCTCAGGAGAAGCGGTAACAGTTGTAGCTTGCTCGAGAACCTGGGCAACCACGGACAGATAAGTCTCGAAGTGGCCACCGATGGCACCAGCAATGTCGCCAAAGCATTGCAGGATAGCAGGCTTAAATTGGTTGGCCAGAGTGGTACTCTGCGGCTGGTTAGATATGTCAAGACATACAAATAGGGGGATACATACCCTGAGGTTGTTGAGGAGGTAGTTCATGAAGTTATCGCAGTAAGGTTGGCTGCGCTCACCCAGAGATCGAGTAATGTCGCTGACCAGACCAATAGCCATGGAGCAGAGACTGGGCTCGTCCTGGTTTCCGAGGGCGTTGTACAGAAATGGGGCAAAGGCATCCATGTACTTGACGAAATCCTCCTCCATAGCAGTGGAAAGGGCGCTGATGGTAGCGAAAACGGCATCAGGAACGCTAGACTTTCCACCGACGCTGTTGAGGATCTGAAGAAGGATTTGCATGATGCGATCACCCTGAGGAATGATCTCCTTGTCAAGGCGAGAAATGATGGCCTGGAGGACAGTGCACAGGCTGTTCTGCATCTCCTCAAGAGTGATCTTGTCCTCGACACTAACGACCTGGTTCTGGAGAGGAACAGTCTCTTCGAGTCTCTTAATGATTACATCGGAGAGAGAGGCAACAGGCTGCAGGCTTTCGGAAGCAGCGTTCTGCACAAAAACGTTGAGAACCTCGTAAGCAGCAGTTCGCACTGAGGTTTCGGTTTCTGTGCGAGCAGTAACGTCAAGCAGGGAGCTGACGGCATTGTTGAAGTGGGGTGTGATAGCGTTCGAAGACGCGCCGAGATCACCAGCAAAACGCTCAGCCAAGTTCATAAGGGCCCAACAGCATGAGGGCGCCATCTTGGCGCTGCTGAGAAGACCCTTGAAGAGCGACTCAATCAAAGTGGGGAGTTGTGTCTGAGGGTCAATGGCCTCGGAGCATGCCTCCGTGATTCTGCCCAAGGCATAAGCGGTCGAGTCCTTGACGTGCAGGGACTGGTCATCCATCATGGTAATGAGGATAGGCAGAGCCTGCTTGACGATAGGGTCCAAGACCTTCTCGTCAGGACCCTCCATGATAGCACCGAAAGCAGACACAGCAGCATCTCGGTTATGCCAGTCCTCGTGACGCAGGTTACCCTCAACAAACTGAAGGACAGGAGTGATGATCGTAGCACCAACGGCCTGAGCGTACAGCTGCAGACACTGATAAGCAGCGCGGGACAGGTTGTACTCGTCGTCGGTGGCGTCCTCGTCCTGCTTGGTGAGGAGAAGCAGGAGAACCGGTACGACTTCGTTGGCAGCAACGCGAGCAAAGTTGTAGAAAGGGCGCATCTGGTCAGAGCTCTCTACTTGGGCGTTGTCATCCTCGATGGAAATCTCCTCTTCGCAAACGGTACTCCAGAACTCAACAGCCAGCTTCGCGACATCCTCGTCATCGGACTTCATGCCAAGAATAGTGAGACCAAACAAGGCCTTCTCCATATAGAATCGCATGTTCTCGTAGTAAAGGGCCATGATTCGGTTGAGGCAGCCAAAGGCGCCCTGTTGTATCCTTGAGTCGTCGGCTTGTGTGGCCTCGCAGACGACCTGCATAATGTAGTTTCGCTCGCCCTCGTGCTTAAAGTTATTGCCGACAAATTCGAGCGAGTCACCAAGGGCGGTGATCGCAGCGAGACGAACCTCGATGTTCGTTTCCTCCTTTCGGGCTCCTTGCACGACAGCAGTCAGAATAGCATTTGAGTGTGTTACCAAAGCCCCGCGCAGTTCAGCATCTTGGCTCTCGCAGATGTAGCCGATGGTGGTCAAAGAAGACTGCTTCTGGTGGTCGGCACCCTCGCTCACATTCTTGACAAGGAAAGGTAGCAGATCGTTCCACTGGCCACGGGGCAACTCGATAGCGGCAATAGAAGAAATAACCTGGGCGGCGGCAGTACCAGCCTGGGTGTTGGAAGAGTTGAGAGTCTGGAGAGTGAGCTCCTTGACCCTGTTCTTGGTCTCGTCATCTGTTTGCTGAAGCCATTTTGCTTGCAATTCCTGGTGACGAGCAAAGTCTCGGGTTGTGAAGGCGTTCTTGAGTGCGATACCGGCAGCAGCTCTAATAGAGCCATCGGCAGAGTCGTTTGCTAACTCTTGTACGAGGGTTGCGAGGTATAGGGGCTAATGAATCGTCAGCTATCATTCGAGCAGAGGGAGGATCAGGGGTGCCATACAAAGTTGCTCTCCGCGGCTTGGGTAAGTTGCTGCTCGGCAGCATTTCGCAGGTTCGCATCTGATAAAAGTTAGCATTCGTTCATTTCACTCGCAGATAAATGCCACAGATTCAATCGGCGGGGGAGGGCGCGGGATACTGACCAGGCGACAGCGAATTTGCGAGCACCTGGTTTATCTCTGAGCTCGACATTTTTGCGATTTAAGAACGTCTCGTCATGCGGTTTCGGGAGGTATCAATAATGAGCGAGGCGCAGAAAGGCGTAAATGTGTGAGAATGAAGAAGAAGAAGGAAAAAATAGAGCCTTTGGTTAGGCGCACGTGTCGATAAGTTTGGCAGATGGAAGAGAGAACTGTTCTGGATGAGGCGGAGAGGCGGGGGTTTTTTCCCACGACGGGGGGGCTCAGGCCAGGAGAGGAAAAGAACGGGTATGAGGGTCGAACGAGCTTGGCGGGCCAAAAACCGATGGGACGGGGCCTTGTTTGATTTGATGGGCTTTGAGATGCTTGATTGGTAGCAAAGCGGTGGTGAAAGAAGAGACAGTCCTGACTTTTTAGACAAAAGAAGCGTTGATATTTTACGGCTTGAGGTTACAGAGGAGAAAAAGTTAACCTCTTGGATCGAAGGTTTGATGATGACAATCGGCAGCCCGCTCCTACCTTTGAAGTCGCTACCGCCACTTACTTCGACACTGTATCGCACTGTGCAGGGGTGATCTATGAGAGGCGGTTATTTTTTACCAGCTAGCAGCAACGTTCGGTGCCTGACTTGAGATTCAGGGAAGTGCAATAGATATGCAGGTATGGATATTAACTAGTAGGCTGTAGTTATCAATGAGAGGGAGAATCGCAGCGATGAGAGGACTGTGGATGTTGATTCATCACCTATGATGTCTACCTACTGATGCGTCACAGCCCTGAGCCTCACTGTGACTACCGGGTTTATCTATGCATGTATATAGGATTCTTCACACCGACGGCCATGCCCTTTTTTGCTGCGGGACCTTGCGGCAAACGCCATTATGCTTTTCTGGCTGGTGCGATTATATCTGCCGCAGGTTTCGTTTTTGTTTTGTTTATTATGAGACGATACATGAGACTCTGGGCTGCTTTTGGGGTGGCCGTTGCTGCTTATGCACGCTATCGCTTGTCTTGATTCAGGTTTACGTGGGCTGTTATTAGTCCAACGTGTAGAGCCTCCACTATGAACGCAAAACTCATAACCTGCTTTCATTACTAACAGGCGGGAAGAACTTCGCTTAATCTGTAGCCGCACTGTACGCCCTTCATACAGTGCCCCGCGGTGAAGAAATTCACACAGGCTTTTGCACAGTGTTAATCAAGAGCAAATGCCCATAAGCTGCAACCTGCCTGAACCCGACTCGGCAAGCAAGGTATCTCCCTCCAGGGCTCAAGTACCGTAAGGTTCACATGAAAGCCCAGGCAAAGCAAATGCCATTCAGGGACAACAGGGCCCTGACTACCTCAGGTGGCAGATTAAAGTTGGGCATAGCACAAAACTCATCCCTTTAGTAGTGAATAGTTACTACTAAGGATATTCATTTTATATTTGAAATTATCACCACATTTAGCTCACACATAACATGACCCAACCCCTTTCCCTTCTCATTTTTTCTTTTCTTCTGTTTGTGTTGATTTCTTTTCAAAGTAAATAGTTCCACTCTTCCACGGCAACCAACGCCGCCAGCCTTGCCACGCTGGGTAACTCATTTATTATCCAGTTCCACGGCGGATGCGGTTTGGGCCGCTATCAAAATGAAGCTGACTTGTCAGATTGAGGGCCGATGTTCGCTTCGTCTTGGGGTTTGGATCTTCCATGTGTTTCCAGGGGTCCAGTCTGGGGAAAATTCGTTACTCAGGCCCTGCTCCCGCTTTTAGCGACTCACAGGCCATGAGAGCACTGACAAACCGTTCCACGATACAACCCAGTCTTTCTTATGGCCCGTTTCTCTTTGTGTTTTATCCTGCCGGTCTCCTTGTTCTTATCAATACTTTGGTTTCGATCCTTACATAGCTAAACCTCAAAACCTCCTTGTCTTCAAACGTCTGTGCCCTTCCTTGATAGCGCATCGAGGAACACAAGGTCCACAGGCAGCAACTTGCGAATCAAATAACTAAGCCGTAAGTTGAAGTGGACGCATTTGGGCTCCTTCTTACACAGACAGCACAAAACTGGTGAATTGACAGGGTCTTAAGCTGCCTTGCTTAGTTCCCTTTCATCTCTCCTCTGTTGTTGAAGGGATTAGTAAGGCTTTCAGCTTCAGCTTTATGCTCTGGGATGTCACATTGCCAGTGGAGCATATCTTTGAACAGAGTATTCAAGATACATAACTACAAGTCTTGCAAGTCTTGCTAAAACATCCTTTGTTCTCATAATTAAGGTACTAACTAATAGACATGACTACTCCAGGAGTCCAGCCCAGAAGCTTAAGTAAATACATTGCAATCTTTCCTTTATTTCCATCCAAGTATGTTCGAGATTACAAGTAATTTCTAAACAACTTATATGTTCGCACTTTAAGTCTTAGGCCTAGTACAATAAGACTTATTTATGCTTAACCTTGGGAGTGTAATACATAGAAACAAGACAAGAATGACAACAGGTCTCTATTCTGTGTTTTTCCTCAACCTGAGCCCTAGCCACGTACCAAGAAAGGAATCTCCATTCTCGTTTGCGAGAAGCGACAGACTGGGCAGTCTAGCAGCCGTTTAAAAGCCTTCACAGAGCGCCCTACAACACAAGTCTTACAGGGTTGAATCAAGGAACTCAAGGTCACATCAGGTATTCGATCTGGCCGGGATAACAAGGCAATTACATCTCGTTGTCCAGGGTCAAATACCGGTGAGGTGGTATTGAGAAACACCGATTACTCGTTCATTACTCGACATCTATACATGCCGGAGGAAGAGAAATCCTTAACAACTTAGCTCGCGATGAAGAACCGTTTGGTCACTAATAGGTTAGGATCAACTCCCATGAGTAAAAAGAGTTGAAACTTATCATCTTTATTTCAGGCTTTGTCAAGTCTGAGATCCATGTTGGTCAGACGTGGGTCTCGTAGAATGCCCCTCCATCGAGGGGTAGGCAGCGGGATGTCCGAAGACCATGAGGTCACCAGTCCCATCAGTCAGCCCTTCAATCACGAGACTTCTTCTTCTTCTTCTTACTCATCTACCTCCAAAGAAGCATCGTAGCGAGGATGTATATGGGCGCTTATTGAAAAACTTGTCGTTATTTATTTCTTGTCATAAGTCGTAATTATGCGTATCAACCAAGCATCTACATACATCCATTCAATCCCATACCAACTCATATCGTTTCATCCGCTGTATATGATTGATTTCGTAAGTTCGTACAACCAAAAGTTGCCCAATATGAAACATGATTCACGATACCAGTACATGTCTGTAGTTGCTTAAGAAAGGGTATCCATTACCCCCAAAAAAGAAAACCTCTGCTGTCCTTCGAAAGGTGACCATGAATGAGAACGCCAGTAAAAAGCAGACTTAACGCAGGTAGCCTCGGGGTGGGCGGGTGTCATAAAACGTCTCACGTTCCGTCACCTCGTCCCAACGAGGGTGGCTGTGTCGGTGACGATCGCGCTCATAGTCGAACTGGTATTCTCTTTCATACTCGAGTTCTCTCGCGCGCTGCTTTCGAGATCGTCGGATCTCATCGGAAACGTCAACTAGGCGAAGAACGTCGTCCTACAATTGTCAGCATTTGGTCGTTGTGATTCCGGGGTGAAAACTTACGTATTTAAGATAGTCCATGATGTAGTAGAACTCCTTGGTCTCCTCATATTCATATCCAGAGCTCTCTATAGCTTCACGTAGAACGAGATCCTTGGTGATCTCGGTCCACATGTCCTTGGGTGGTGGAGGAGCAGGTCGAGAACGGGTTTCGCGTGTTCGTTCGATATCAATTTCCCTCTCGCGGTCGTAAATGGAAACATTAACACGGTCACGAGTATCCGGGGGTGAGGGGTCTTTGAGGATAGGCTTTGGCGAAGGCGCAGGAGCAGGTAAGGGAGCGCCATCCCTCTCAGGAATGAATTTACTCTTCCTGGAACCACTGTACCTCGTCCAGTTCGTCTCGGTACTTCCACCGCCGACTCCATCCATGCGGATGCGTTCAGTGCCCGGAGGAACATCAACGAGTGTCCAGTCCTTGGTAGCACCGCCCCAGGCTTCACCCATTCGGCCGCGAGAGTCAATCTTGCTGGTAAGATAGTCGCCTTCTTCGTCCACAGCACTGGGTGTCGGCAGAGGAGCAGCTGAATGGGCTCGACGCCGGGTCGTCTCGGACTCGCGTCGAACCACAAGTTCGTCATCGCGGTAGTCGGATCGTCGTTCCCGACTTTGAGAACGAGTGCGCGATGTGCGAGTGACATCCACTTCGGTTCTGTTCTTTGACAAAGAAATATCGATATCTGTCTCACGCTCTCGGACTCGGGAAGGAGCACGAGGCTGAGGCTTTGGCTGGGGAGGAGGAGTAGGGGGTCTAGCTTTGATCATGCCTGCAACCGTTAGAGTTTTGAATCGTTTGGCTAGAGCTTCAGTGTGCTTACCATGGTCGATATCTCGGTAGTGGGTGATAACCTCTCGCTCGATTGTTGGTCCGCGGATAGTCTGAGGCGGAGGAGGTGGAGGAGAAGGTTTGGGAACCGGAGGGGGCGAAGGAGCCCTCTCGCGCTCAATGATACGAGTGCGAATGCGCTCCCGCTCCTCAACTGGAGGGGCGGGCGGAGGAGAAGGCGACCTTGGTCGCTCAACGTATCTGACAACACGGGCGGGCGAAGGAGCTCGCCTGGGAGGTGGTTGAGAGGGTTCTCTGACTCGCTCTCGCTCGTAAACTCTGGTTCGAGAACGCTCATGGTCATGGTCGTGCGAGTGATGGCTGCTGGGTGAAATGCTGCGTGGCCTTCGAATGATGCGTTCCTCTCGAACACGAACTGGGCTGGGACTTCTGGGTCGGTGTCGGTCGATGGTCTCTACTTGACGCTGGCGCAAGACCATGGGACCAGCTTCTGTCCGGCGAGTATCTTCTCGCAAAAAGGCGGGTGTACGAGATTCCTCGCGCGGGGGAGGGCTGATGGTGACGGTGCGACGACGATAGTCGACTTCATCAAGCCCCTCCGGAGCTGAACGTCGAGGAGCAGGGTAGTAGTCCCTTTCCTCGAACTCAGTAGCCCTTACACGGGACATTGTGGTGTAATGAAGTGCTGTTTTCTGTAGATGTGTAGATACCGGTGCTGATTTTGGTGCACTTTTGAGGGCGCCAACTCAATTAAACAGGCTGTTCGTTGCGACAAAGAGTGCAAAAAGGGTATGTCGTCACACTTTAAGCAAGGTGGGGTTCCAGCGACGAGCCTCAGACTTGGTGAGGTCTTGTTACGAGCCAAGCGAGAAGCAAAGCTGCAAGCTACAAACCCAAAAGAATGCAATGTTTTTGAGGTGATAAGAGAGGAGGAGAAAAGCAATAGCCAAGAGAAATGGAAGAGAAAGGAAAAAAAGAGTTTATGAGCGTCAGGTGGGTTTAATGGCGCGCAAGCCGCAAAGCGCCGCAAGAATCAGGCCCCAGACGACCAAGGACGGAGCATGGAACCAAAGCAGAACGTCGTCATCCGACAGCAATAATGAGAGGGAACCCCCCGCCAACAATAGGGTGTCAGCCGTGACCTTGACCTTACTCTAGTTAATGGAGGGGCTGGGCATGGGCGGGCAGTGCTGGGCTGCTTGAGCAAAGTGAAAGTTGCTCCCAGAGACCTGACCTGGTAAGCTGTTGCAGTAGGCAAAAGCGGGCCCGGACTGCCCCAAGGTTAGGTACAAGATTGATGATGGTGGCAGCGGTCCGCAACGGGAGAACTAACATAAACGGTGATCTTTTCGCCTGTTGCACTTTCGTCGAATAGTATGTAGCAAGTCTGATCGAACCTTTATCCAACGTTGATCGTAAATTCGACAACCTCAAAGGAATCTTGCTTGGTTGTGGACATAAACGACTGACCACAATAGACAGACAGTATACCCATCCAATGATCCATCAAGTACCGGAGGTAAGTCAGTCTGCCTGCCTTACGACCCCAAACACGATGAGTCTACCATGGCGGCCCAATGAGACGGGGCCTTCACCCACGCGAAGCATTCAGGTGGAGGGTCAAGCGCAGCCAGGAAGGACATGAGACCTACCAGCCTGACAAACTCTACTCGGAAATTGTCTCTGCCCAAGGCCCCATCCACGATAGTCCTTTCTTCCTGTTATAGAGTTCATCACCGTTACCTCTTATGATTCTGGGCATTCGTTGGGCCTGATTTTGTACATATCTGTCGATTCGTGTTTGCTCTGCCCTTTCTTTGACGAGAACAAAAGCTCGTTTGTTTGGCATCCATGCTGGCTGTGGTGTGGAGATCTACTGACGCAATAGTGCAGCAGCTCACCCCGGCATCTTCTGGTTCTTGGCCCCAGTGCATTGCGAGATGGGAGCCAGAACAGGGCTCTCAGAATGCCCCCTGCGGCGCCACGAGTCCATATCAGCGAATAACATGTTGACTCGAGATGCAACTCGGTGATGTCGACAAAGAAGGTACAGATGTTGCTTCTGGTCGACAAGATAACAGTTGTGCTGGGCAATGCGAATGCTGCAAGTCTATCTCTGTCACATAGAGTTGCATGCAAATCATTGCCCTTGTGATCGGCGATGGAGTCCAAGTCGTTATTCCGCTCAGTTGGGCATTGAATCTCAAAACGAGTGGTCCAGTCATTGACTAGGACTGGGGTCTCAAAGAACTACTCAAGATCCTTGAGAAACATCATACCAAACTTCCAAAGCCACACTGAGGGCCCAACGAGGCGTCGAGCTTGAACCCCATAAGCCGCTATCCTCAGCTGTCAGTTCCTTATCGAAGCCCTTTGAATCGCTGAGGCATCAATGCTGAGCATCTGCCGTCCTTCCATGGTTCCATGGCTGTCTGTCACATGTGACGTGCTGCACAGACCAGGCAAGTTTGCGTGCCAGGCAGGGTTCATTAACTGGGCAGAGTTGGGTTGGATTCGTCTAGATTGTTCTCTTGAAACTTGATGTTTCGAGGAAATAGAATATTGGAAGGTCTACTCTCTTCAAGTTCTTTTAACGGAGTAATTCATCAGGCTTTATGCCAAGCATTTGGTGACAGCAAAGCCTTTCAGGAGTCCCTCTCTCTAACTCAGGAACATAGACTCGGCTATGGAACCCACAGATATCGAATTGGACGGCTTCCGTAGCTCAGTTGGTTAGAGCGTCGTACTAATACTTCATTCCGAGTATCCGGTAATGCGAAGGTCTCAGGTTCAAGCCCTGGCGGGAGCAATCCCAGTGCCTTCCGATTCGTATTTTTAATTCTCTGGTGTCTTTTTTGATGGATGAAGTTTTATTTTTGCTACCTTCGTTCTTGTATCCGTATGTGTAGGTTATTTACTTGCATTGAGCGGGCCAAGTCCTGTTCAAGTTCAACTTGCACCAGTATATTCATTAAGTTATTACTTTGTCCATTTCTCTGTTTTGGTGTTTGAATGATTGATGCTTTTAAATGACAAGGAGTCTTGCTTGGTGCAATTTGATCTCGATCTACTAACCATGACGCATCGAAAGTGCAAACAGGATAAGCCGCTTAAGGGGTTTAATGAACATAACCTTTATCCATACTATCAGTTTGTAGCCAAAAGAAAGGGACCTACATACATTCAATTAAATAAAAGACAACGCTGCTTTAGACGCTGTCTGTCTAAGTCTAAGTTAGTGGTAATTCTTGAACTGTCACATTGTCCTTTAGAAGTGCAAACATCAAGGTCTACCTCTATAGGAAACCAGATTAATAAGATAAATCTTGCACTTCTAAAAATCGGTGTTTATGGCTGTATATTAAGCTTCTCATAGTCTCAGTCTTTATGTCGATATTGTTAATACAAAGAAAACTTAAATCCTTGGAGTTTTTGTGCTAGGGATGCAGGTCCATCATTAGATCGAGCTCTTAACATCTTGTATGGAATGTCCCCAGAGCCGCATATTAACAATAAACCACAGGGACACATCCATCCAACATGAGGATGTCAATGGTAGATTATTCGATTTCAACATACTACGAAGATCTAAAAACAACCTTCAGGAGTACTCTCAGATCCCCTTTAACCAGAACTTACCCTGAACCAGATACATTAAATCATGAACATATTGTAACTGCCTGGATTATCCTAAATAAACACCGCAAGGACAAATATATCGAGAATCCAATAGCCATTTTTCAGGTAAAGGTAGTGTTGATGGGATTTCCCGGGCATTATAAACAAGTCTCTACTTGGTATCTTTACTAGTTGGACGAACCACTTCACACTTAATTCTTCTCCATATCCCCTCCGAACGATAAAAGGGTAACACCTAAAGAAGAAAGGACGCATTCGCGCAATATGTTAGTTGTTTCTGAGATCCTGCCTCTCATAAGTCGTCTAGATGCATCGACAGCATCTCATTGTGAAGTATCTCAATTGGCAGCATCTCACACAAGCGTAGGCATTTCGCCGACCGCTTGAATACGAACATACCAGCTACTTCTTATCGACTTCAACTATATTGAGAGTACTCTTGGGGCTTGTAGATTTAATTAGAACACAGGCCCTCATCTATTACGTTGATGCTGAGGTCAAGCCCTGAAATGAGACATCCACAAGCACATGAAGACGTGGTATTTAGTGTATGTCTTTATTGAGTAGTCCTTCCCCTGTGCTGTTTCTGCTACTTATCCAAGAAAGTACTACAAATGGAGAGCGATATGAGCAGAGCATATGAACAAGATTGTGGTTGAAGACCAACGTAGAAGATAATTGCTTGAACGCCTAAAACTGATTTCATTCATACTGAGCTATCATTAAGAATAAAGGTGAGAGAAAAGTGAAGTAACGTCAATCTGAAAATGTTCTTATAGCCAAATAACGACGCCCCCCTACAGACCACGTTTTGTGTCCTTTGCGATCAACCCTGTCAAGCTCTTCTCCGGCTTAGGGTAATCAGGACGGCCCGCCAGCATGTCCACTACCTCTGACAGGCCCAGCCAGTGGGCAGTCGCAGGTCTTCGGTTGGGCCAATCTGTACCGTGCTCCTCTAGCTCTTCCATTGGGTTGAACACGACCTCGGAGCCCTGGATACCAATGACAGAGGCACTCTTGGGGTCCTTCTTAACGTGGTTGTGAGCGTTGCGTCCAAAGCCCTCAAGATGCTGAATGCACTTGATAGCCAGACGAACAGCTCGGCAACGATCCATAGCAGAAGGCACACCACCCTGCTGGACGTGACCAGGAATACTCTCTCGGCTCTCGAACCGGTCGTGAGCCTCCTCTCGGATGATGTCCGCAATGAGCTTAGCATTGTAGACCTTGCTGGACTTCTCGTTTACAAGAATCAGACGTCCAGCACGGGACTGGCCCTTATCCTTCTTGAAAACCTCCTTGAGATGGTTAACATCGGAGTTGAGCATCTCAAGAGAGATACCTTCCTCAGGGATGTAGACAGCAGAGGCACCAACGTCAAGACCAGCCAGGGTAGCGATGTAGCCTGAGCGACCACCCTGAGTCTCAATAACAAAGACACGGCGGCGGGTAGCGGACGCTGACTGCTTGATCTTGTCACAGTAGTTGACAAGCTCGTTCAAACAGGTATCTGAGCCCAGAGAATACTCGGTTCCGGGAACGTTGTTGGAGATGGTAGCCGGGAGAATGACCATGGGGATGCACAGAGAGGGGTAGTCCTTCCTGGCCTTGCGCATTTGAGAAACGGAGTGGAAGGCCTCGAAACCACCAACAAGGAATAGAGCATCAAAGTGGTGCTCTTCGATCAAGTTGGCAATCAACTCCATACCAGACTCGCCAGGAAGCTCTCGATTTGTACCAATCTCGGAACCACCCTTGCTTGCCCAGCCGTCAACCTCGAGCCAGTCGAATGGGCGAACAGCGCCAATAGGCTTGTCATCGTGGTGTCGTGCAAATCCAGCGAAACCGTTGTGAATAGCCAGAGGCTCGTGGCCCTTAGAAAGACAGTACGCAACAGCAGCACGTACTGCAGCGTTCATGCCACCAGCAGGGGCACCAACATTGATGAAGCCAATTCGCATGCGCTAAGCAGTCAATTGTTAGTAGGAGCAATAATATTCAGATTTGACACTAGACTTACATCCTTCTC